GCCTTTTTTTCAAAAAAATATCTTTTAAGAAAATTTGTTTGACCTCTTATTTATTAAATATCATTTAAATTTTTTTCTATATAGAATATTTATTTTCAAAAAAAATTAATTCTCTTATTTCCAGTCTTTATATTCGAAATCTAGCGTGATTTTTACTATTCGATTAGGAAGGATCTACAAATTTTTTTCAGCGAAAACAGATTATTATAACTCCTGAGGGAGCCATTAATGATATTGGTAATAAATATTGTGCAAAATAAAAATGAAATTGTGCAAAAATACAAAAAACAGTTAAACAAAGCTGGAAAAATTTCTCCAGAAAATAATAATGTTGTGTTTTAAAGTTTCTCCCAATGATTTTGAATTTCCTATCGGGGACCCTATTTCAAAATTTCGTCATTTGTTTTATTATATACTGAATCATAACGTAAAGTAAATATTAAGTTTTATTCATCTACACAATTGAAACCCTATTCTATTAGTATAGGGACAATTTCAAAATCATACTCCTCTCTCACATGAAGGTCCATAGAATAAATTATACCACAAATACGTAAACTAATTTCTGTAAACAGGAATTAAATGGATTGTTTAGATATCCATTAAAAATCAATATCAGGTTCCTTTTGATAATAGGAATCTAGGTGTGATTGAGTAAATTAAATCTTTCCAAGAAGAATTTTTAGATTGAAAAGCCGAAGTAAAAAATTTTTTTAACTCTAACACTTAATGAATGAATTATTAACCAGCAAACAAATTAAATTAAATATAACCTCTGCGGAGGCCATGCAAAATACTAAAAATTCATAATTCACGTCAAATCAAAACTAAGATTTTAAAGTTCTCGCTTTTATTTTCCGGTTGCAGCCTGCGGATCGCTTAAAACAATTTTTTTACTAATAAAATTAACTAAATAAAAATCCGACAATGAGGTCTAACCTTTATCAGTACTTCTACTTTTGTCTGCGGAAATTCCAAATCAAAAGAAATTTTTCAAGCAATAATCACTGGGCTTATAAAAAAGGGAAAATGCAGTCTTTCATAATCTGCGGTTTTTTTAAATAAAAATAAGTTCAAAAAGGCAAATGAGTTACGCATAGTAATCCACTAAAATTCATCTGTCATTACTCCACACAGACAGAAAATATTTTTAAATAAGACCAATTCAGATAACTGAAATGACTTAAGAGGATAAACTTCACTTTACACAAGCAAAAAAAGTCTTAAAATATAATTTCTACGGGTGCTCCAAAATTCAAAAACAATATTTTTCAAAGCATAGATTAGTGGTTATAAAAAAAATTTTAATGACCTGCGGGTTTCATTTTAATTTTAAATTTTATTAGAATTAAAATCTTTTATTTTCTCTCTCATTTCTCCCAAAATTTTATTTTTCTCCACAACTTTTTGTTATTTTATCACTTTCTCTAAGAACTCACTTGTATGAGATTTTCTTAAAATAAAATTTTATATTTTTTCATTATAATTTTTTCTATCTTTTCACTCAATCAAAAATTTACAAAATACTTTACAAAAAATATTATCTCTAGCACAAAATTCAAAAAGAAAATCTCGCTTTATTAAACATTTTTATTACAAAGGATAATTTTTATTTTTCTTTTATTTCAACAAATTTTTTAGTTCATCATGCAAACAAAAAGAATCCAAAAAAACAAAGCCTAAACCCCGAGGGGTTTAATTGAATAATAATTAAAATTAAATGAACGCAAATGATGCATGCGTCTAAATAAAGTATCTTAAGTTCTTTCATTAACTCAAAAATAAAATTAACAAAAACAAAAAAATACTAGCTCATTTCACAAAATTAAGTCCTTTTTATTATTCAAATGCTGCACTACGCCTAACGCTTTGATTTTAACAAAAAATATATGCCTTCTCTTTCGGCTTCGACAAAAATTATCGTCTTAAATCTTCCAATCTGCTCTGCGTCTAGCGCTTTAGAATTTCAGCTTGGTGCAGAATTCCTTAATACAAACCCTGAGGGGTTCATTAAAGATAAATAAAAAAAGCTGACCAAAAAAAAACAACTGAAAAACCTATCAAACAAAATATGGCGCAATCCAGATACTTGAAATATAGCCTGCGGCACAGAGTAACCTTTGAATGCCTCAATTAACCTCTAAATTAGTGGTTGTACGGATTAAACAACAGCTACAGTAAATTTCAAAATCGAAATTACCCCGAGGGTTCCTCTCTCAGTCGGTACCAAATAATTTTGGGGAGCGATATTTTTGCTAGAATCCCACCTACAACACTTGATTTTCACAATTCTGACTAGGCAGGTTAAACTTAAATCCATCTAATAATTTCCGAATATCACTCATATCTTTCCTTACTAGTTCTTTAAACTTTTTTTTCTCTCAACGTTACGCAAATTATTAATTTGTTTCAAAATATAAGTCCTGCGGGACTTTCACATGCAACAAAAAACGAATGAGTGTTTTACAAAAAAATTAAATCCTGAGGGATTCACTCATGTAATACAAACAAAAAGTGGACCAGGGACGGTCCATTGGAAGGTTAGAGGTGTAGAGGATGGTCAAATCTTAACGACCAGGGACGGTCTATTGGAAGGTTAGAGGTGTAAGGCGGATATCATCCTGGAATCACGTGAACTATAATGTCGCTATAAACTTTGCGCTAAGCGACGGAAGTTCCCAGAGAAAAGGCAAAGAACGATCAAACGTCCATTCCCAGAGAGTTATTAGCCGCCTATTATCTAAGTTTATTATCGCCACTAACTTATCCTTGGGAAAGCAATAAGGAAGTAGGCTGGTGCATATAAGCTCTAATGAAATAGACAAAGGCAGATCACTTCTTCATTCATTCAACAGAGTTGCCGGCCGGCCAATCCATCGAGTCTTATAGAGAAGGGCCCTTCCTATATTCCCCCACTGCGAGCGATTAACTTATTTCTATACTCTGCGGAGTTCACACATGATTGCAAGCATGCGCGACTCTGCTTATAACAACAACTAAACAACGAGGCACTGGGGAACGGGACCAACCGCTTTACTATAGCTAAATTCATTTATGAATATAGTAAGTTAATTGTTAAGTTTAATTTTAAAATTTATTCTCTAAACTTTTTACAATTTGTAAGATTGTAAAGTTTATAGTTTTAATTAAAACTTTATTTTTTCTAAATAAACTTGAAACTTTTACAATTTGTAAATTGTAAAGTTTAATTTTTAAAAAAGTTTCAAACTTTAAATAAACCTTAAAACACTTTCTAAAACTTTAAAAGTTTATTTAATTTAAAACTTAATACAATTACAAATTGTAATTTAAATAATTTTTAAAACCTTTTTTTGTAAACCTGAAACTTTTACAATTTGTAAAAACCTTAAAACTTAAAACTTGATTTTTTTTAAATAAACTTGAAACTTTTTACAATTTGTAAATTATTAAGTTTAATTTGTAAAAAAGTTTCAAAGCTTTAAATAAACCTTAAAACTTTTTTTAAAACTTGAAAAGTTTATTAAATTTTAAACTTTTTACAATTTGTAAAATTGTAATTAATTTAAAACTTTTTTGTGAAACAAACTTTATAGTATTCTCTCATTCTCTCATATCTCATTTAAGCCATGAAACTTTTACAATTCTGAAACTTTTACAATCCTTCATAAATCATCTAAGCAATCTAAGCACATACATGTACATTTAAACCATTTTTATTTTAAATTTCATTTAATTTTTAATTTAAAATTTAGGAAAAAATTTCAATTTATCCCACATTTATATAATTTTTCTTAATTCTAATAAACGCCTACATACAAAGACAACAGTGTGGTCTTTTATTCGTGCTTAGTACAATTAATTTATTTTCTCAAATAAAATTTTTTCTAAAAATTTTTTTGATTTTTTAAAAAATCTTAGGAAATTTTTTTCCTAAAATATTTTACTTAGATTCCTATAAATCCAAAAAAAAATTTTTTTAACTTTCTCACGCTTAACTACAAAATTTACTATTTATTTAGCACATATCTTTACTTATTATATTTTATTTACAGCCATATCTCATTTATAAATTCCCCCAACCTCATTATAATTTCTATATCGGATACCCCCAGTGCTAGAGACACCTCTATTTAATATAAAATTTTGGTTTGTCCCTAGATTGGAATAGTGAAAGAATAAAAAATAAATAATAAAATTTAGGAAATACCCTCTATTTAAGCTACACCTCATTATAAGAGACAAATTTTTTCAGCCCACTTAAGATACCCTAAGTTGGTAGCTTATGAGGTTTCGATTTTTAGTATTATCTTTACCCTCTATTTAAGCTACACCTCATTATAAGAAACAAATTTTTAAGCCCACTATAAGATACCATAAGGGGTTGTCTTATAATAAGGTTTCGATTGTTATGCATTTTTATTTGAGTTTAATTTCACAATTGACTGGAAAATTTAAATTGCCCCTATCATGTACTCTTAACCACTTTAAGCTTTAAGTAGTTTTATCTTTTTCGAGAAGCTATGCCATTTATAATTTGTACTTGAGACATTTTGCACTCTTATTTTCTTCCTCATAATAATTGGGTATTTCAATATTTTTAGAATTTTTGGTTGATTAAGTTCCATTTTAGTAGAGACTGGTTGTAAAAGAATTTTACAAAATGTCTCGAAAAGTATCGAAACTCGATAACCGAATTTTTGTTGGATAGCATGGCTGGACACAAACGAAAATAATTTTCTTCAAACTATGCAATTTACACAGCCCGCAATTGCTTCGTCCAGCCGTATTCGAGATCTTGTCTTGACCGGCCTCTACCCTTTTTACACAGATGGGCATTGGGATTAGAGGTCGGCGCGAGACGGGACCGCTCCCGCAATCCCGCACATTTTCGGGTTGCGGGCTTTTCCGTGTGTACGGTGTTACTGTACGGTGTGCGGGGTTACTCCCGCAAATACAATTTTTCTGACCTCTAATTTGAATATATCTTGGGAGAGTTTCAGTTCCTTTACTTTTATAAATTTTTTTATTTATTTTTTATTTATTCAGACACATTTTTCTTCTAAAAATGGAAATTATTACTGCCCAAAATTTACAATTTATTTTAAATCTAGTTAATATTTTTTCTATTTTTCTCTCTATTCTCTCAATAATTTTTTTATTAATTGTAATACGTCCTCTATTTAAATTTTCAAAGGAAAGAACTGCTCTTTTTATTGTTTTTAGCAAGGCAAGTTTAATTCTTTATTGTTCATAGCACGTCCAAAGCCCGGAACAAACCCGAGCCTAGTGTTAACGGCAGTCCAAACCGGTAACCAAAAGCATCTTCTCCTGCACTTTTCGCCGTATCCTCGTCTTTTCCTTTATGTCCCCGAGATTCCAGATATACAGGGTGACAAGAAAGAAATGGGGGGGGGGGGCACTTTTCTCCTTATTAATATTTTTTTGATAATTTTACACCTATTTTTCTCATTTTGTACCGGATCTGAATCCTATGGATTACTTCTCCAGGTATTTTTGAGGGAAGGATCTTTTACCCAAAAATACCCAAAAGTTTCGACACGCTCCTGTAATCGCTCGTTCGCGAATCGGAGAAGTCCCACCCAAGGTTGTGCAAATTTTACCAATAAGTTTTCACGCGCCTTCAACATTGTATTCAAGGGAAGGAAAGGCCCTTCAAAACTTCTAGATTATTCTTGTTCCACGATTAATTCTCTATCATTTAAGCTTTATTTGATCCCATTATCTCATATTTGAATAAAGTTATGGCATAAAATGTGTGCCCCATATCTGTCTTGAACCCTGTACATAATGGTCCAAGACTATTGGTCTTGTATCTCGACTCAGGACTTTTCTTGGATTTTTTTGGTCTTGTCTTGGAGTGTAGTCTCTGCCTTGAAGTCTTGGTCATGGTCTCGAGTTTTTAGACTTGGAAAATTTTCGGTCTTGGAAGTCTCAAAAAACACTCACGACTAGCAACCGTGAAAAGATGAAAAGAAAAAGAATTTGAGGGAAAAATATTTATTTTTAGCTTTTCATCTCTTCTCTATTAAAAGAGAATTTAATATCAAAATATTAAGTAATTTTTCAAAAATTAGTTTTACAAGATATTGAAATAAGTAATAACTAGGGATCGGATTTTTAGGTTATAATGTATTTTATTAAGCTATTGTATTATGATGAATTAAGCTCAAATCCGTTGTTATTTTTAAAAATTTGGTTCTACTTGACTTTATGAGTCCAAATAAAACTTTATGGTCCAATCGAACTTTATGAATCCAAACAAATTTTATAAGTCCGAACATTTTTGTTATTATTCTAAGTAAAAATTTTGGCTCTAATGTGGTTCTTGATTCCAATCACAGTTTACGAATCCAAACGTATTTTTTGTGCTGCGGGAATAGGTCGTCAGATCAAGGCTGAAAATGAAAGAGGGATAGGCTTATGTTATTGTTGTAGAACCCAACGACCGTTGACTCCCCACGAGGCGCGTGCCGCAAAACCCTGCACTTCGCGCGGGGTTTTCTAAGCCTCCATTAAAGCCTCCTATACAATAAACCCTAAGGGCATCCTCCAGAAACCCCTCAAGACTTAACCAACTCTTACCCTCCTTAATATTATTTTAAAATAAATTTAAGTCCTGTGCCAACATAATTTTCCAATTGCTTTCAATTTTGTAAAGAGTTAATGGACTGATCCACAACCTTGTTTAGCCTAGGAATAATCTTGATATTATAAACCAAGGAAGCCCTCCAGGGCATTAAACCCAAGTATAGACCCGGAAACCCCTCCAGGGGACTCTTCCCCCACATCCACAACGTCCACGACAAATACTCCAAGGAGCTCCTCTACAATAACACCAACAAATCACCCAGGAATCCCTCTAAAGAACTCCTCTAACAATAAACCTTAGGACATCCTCCAGAAGCCCCTCAAGAGTTAACCAACCCTTACTTTCCTTGTAATTAATTTAAAATTAATTTAAGTCTTGTGCCAACATACTGTTCCAATTACTTTCAATTTTGAGCTATTTACAACAAATAACACATTTTTCCTCAAATTTTTTATTTGTTTATTTTACCTTACCTCTTGGAGCTCTTTTGAAGACTACCTCATTTTTTCATGTTACTGGATTGGCATTAAATCGTTTACAGGCTGTTTTCTTTCCTTTGAGTTATCAAAGGGTTTGGAAGAAGAGGTAAACTTGAGGGAGGGATTTTTGTATGGGATCTTGGTGATTATTTTTGTTTAATCAATCATCAGATGATTAAACATAAGGTTGTTGATTGTACTTGAGTTTTTGCCAAAATTAAGTACAGAAATATGAATGAAGGATGTAAATGTACCGTAAAGTCAAAGGCGAGTTTAAGGTCCTACCAAACTGCGAATTCGATATTTTTGATACCATTCTATAGTGGACCCCCCCCCCTTCCATAGAAAGTTGCTGCTGCTAAGTGAGATCTGTTTCCTTGCAAAATGACTTTGGGCCTGTGTTATGGCCCTTCAAAGTGCAAGGAAGAGGAAGAAATTTATTTTTTAAAATTTATTTTTCCAGCAGGCTAGCATTTAAAAAGCTTAGGTGGCTTTAAGATCGATTAAAAGAGAAGGTGAATATGATTTAATGCAAAAATAAAGCTGGTATTACCGCGGCTGCTCCATAATTCTCAAGCTTTCTTTAGATTATACAATTGGTAGGCACCTGTACGAGGTGCCCGAAAGCGCCTAGCAATAACTGCCCGGAGGTCATAAGGATCGAAGCCTGCCCGGGATTAAACTTTTACTCGCTCTTACTAAAGTTAGGCCATTCACGGCAAAGGTATCCTCAAAGTTGTGGAAAAATGTTGGATAGACAGATGGAATAGAACCATCCTGGAACCATCCTGGAAGACCATTCTGATGAACCATCCGCACAACCAACTGTGTCCCCAACCATAAGAAGGGGTATTTTTAATCGTTTATGTTCCTTCTGAGAGTACAAATATAATAAGCACCCCTACTTCCTTTTTAAAAATTTAATTTTTAAAAATTTATTTTTCCCAGAAACATAAAATACATAATTCTCCTTATATGGCTTCTAAGCATGTTGTGGAGTATATTCTTTTATTTACTTGTTACCAATGTTTTACAAATTCCAATTATTAGGTATTTTAATAATTAAATCCCTAACCTAAATATTTTAAACAGTGTTTTATTTTATAATTTTATGATACGTGATATGCCCTTAACTTTAGCTATAGTTTTGTGCACTCCAATATATATTGCGGTTATAGCTAAATTTGTTTATGAACGAAGTAAGTTGGTTGTTGAGTTTAATTTAGAAATTTATTTTGAAACTTTTTACAATTTGTAAATTGTAAAGTTTATATTTAAGTTTTAATAAAAGATTAATTTTAAACTTGAAACTTTCTACAATTTATGAAACCCTTAAAACTTTAATTAAAACTTAAAACTTGATTTTATATATTTATAAACTTGGAAACTTTTTACAATTTGTAAAATTGTCAGGTTTTAAGTAAAACTTTATCTACAATTTGTAAAACTTGATTTTATAAATAAACTTGAAACTTTACAATTTGTATTTTGAAACTTTTACAATTTGTAAAACTTAATTTTACTTAAAAACTTTATTATTTCTAAATAAACTTAAAACATTTTACAAATTGTAAAATTGTAATATTTTAATTTAAACTTTAATAAAACTTGAAACTTTTTTAAATAATATAGAAACTTTTACAATTTGTAAAATTGTAATTAAATTCTTAAAACTTTTTCAGAAAAAAACAAAAATGTTGTAGATGGAAATACATTAAATGACAAAACCCGTGTAATGATTGTTTGTTTGGCCAGCCTAATTCCTTGTCCATTATACCTTTTGCTTAATCCATACAACGCTGATTATTACTCAAATGATTCGTCTACAATACTTTTTATAATAATATTTTCATGTATTAACACTACTGTGCTTCAATGTGCAGAAGAAATTATTTTGTTAGCTATATCCCAAGAATTTAGACAATTAGTCAAATGCCAATTCGTCAAGGCCAAGTATCAAAGTAAAGTTGTCCCAGCTGTGATTGTTGTTTCAGAAACAATTTTAGTCCAACAAAAACAGAAGCAATTACAAAAGAATAAATTGAACTTAAAAGATATTTAATAAAACTTGAAACTTTGTTAAAACTTGAAACTTTTACAAATTGTGAAATTGTAAAGTTTAATTTTTAAATCAACTTTGCAACTTTATACAACTTGAAACTTTTACAATTTGTGAAATTATAAAGTTTAATTGTTTACAATTTGTAAATTTAAAACTTTAAATAAAACTTTTTTTTAAAATTTGAGGTTTATTTAATTTAAAACTTGTTACAAATTGTAAAGTTTAAATAAGTTTTAATTCTTACAATTGTAAATTGGTATTTAAGCACTTAGTTAAAACTTGGATCTTTTACAATTTGTAAAACTTTTTTACAACCTACTTTAGTTGATCTTCTGGAAATTCAATAAAATTAATAATTTAAAATTTATTAATCACACGTAATCTTACCCCTCTCTCCTTTAAAAAAATTGATTAATTCTATTAATTGCCATGTCTTCCCAAAAAATTCTAAAAATTTTTGTTTTGACTGTTTTGCTTCACTTTTATTCTCAGCTTGTTGAGAGTGGAGATACCAAGGACAAAAACATTGGTAACCATCATCAACATCATGAAGTTTCTGAAAATTAATTTTTAAATTTAATTTATTATATGGTGCAGATTGAAAGACTGGACATTTAAAAATGCTTCAAAAATGTTGCCAATTTGCTATTGAATATTCGAACCTATGGCAACGGGGTATGGAGGAGGTTTGCTATGATTAATGAGCAGGACATAAAGATTATCATTAATATCATAGAGATTAGAGAGAGATTATCTAGGAACAAACATTATCATAGAAAAAGTTACGTTAAGTATGCCCGGATGCTCTCTTTATGAGCGAAACTGAGAAATGGTGTTTTTACTTGCACGAGCATCCAGGCCTTTAATGCATGTCTATGGCATATTTCAGAACTTTCGTGCATATTTCATATCGAGGAGTTGAAACGTTCTGTTAGGAATTTTTTGATTTCATGGTTAAAAGATCACAATGCCAGAGGCAAAGAAGGAATTTTGACTGCCATTCATAACAGGAATGAGCCAATTAGGCGCGCGCCCACAAAGGCGCAGAGCCATAATTATCTGTAAAATTTCCGGCCCTCATCAATTTTGGTACCAATCTCTTTAGCTCGGTGAGAGGAATCGTTTAATACTAAATTTGGTAAGATTCGAAAATCTTGAAGCAAGTTATGGCTTTGCGCCGTTATGGCCGCGCGCCTAATTGTACCCT